TCCAAGATTTTGGATCATCTTTACTATCATTATTCTGAATTCTTTTTCAGCTAGACTGCCTATTTTCTCTTCATTTGTTAGGTCTGGTGAGTTTTTACCTTGCTCCTCATCTGCTGTGTGCCCATGACCTCTTAATGTTGGGATACCTTAGGTTTCAGTTCTTGGACATCTCCTCACCTTACAGTCTTTCCATTGGAGATTCTATTCCATGTCATGTGTATAAACACATCTCTATGTCCACAATTCTTAAAGTTACATCTTTAGCTCTAACCTCTCTGCCGAACTCTCAGTTCATATGTTCTACGATCTCTAATAGACATATCAACCTCAGCATGTCCAAAATTGAACTCTTACTATCTCCCACCTTCAGACATGCTCTATTCACAGCCTTTTCCACCTCAAAAGATAACTTTCAGCTTACGTGATTTCCACGTGTCGTTGAATACTATGGGTCACTCCAGTTCTCTAGATATTTTCTTAGCTACTGTGACTCCACCTTCTCCTAGTTTTCCTCTGATGGCCCTGGCATCCTGAACTCAGCCTCCCACATGGACTTCTATCTATATTCTTAAAGTTTTGGACTTAAACATTAAGCTTCCTCAGACTTTCGCACACAAATTTGTTGCAGGAAACAGATCTGTTGCCGGAAACCAAATGTTTAAGTTTAGGACTTAAACATTAAGCTTCCTCAGACTTTCACACACTAATCTGTTGCAGGAAACCAATCTGTTCCAGGGCCCAAGAATGGGCTCTTGTCTAACCCCAGAAATGTATTGTCTGAGGAGATGCACATGCTGGCAAGAGAATTTATTGGGAAGGGGGCGCCCGCGCAGAGAGCAGGAGTGCAAGGGAGCCCAGGAGAAATGCTCTGCCACGTGGCTGACAGTTGGGTTTTATGGTGATGGGGTTAGTTTCCAGGTTGTCTCTGGCCAATCATTCTGACTCAGGGTCCTTCCCGGTGGTGTGTACATCTCTCAGCCAAGATGGATGCCAGTGAGAAGGATTCTGGGAGGTTGGTAGGTCATACAGACTGGTGTCTCCTCTCTCCTTTTGACCCTTCCCAAATTCTTCTGGTTGGTGATAGCCTGTTAGTTCCACATTCCTTACCAGGACCTCCTGTTGTAAGATACCTCATGCAAGTGGTTACTATCGTGTCTGGCCAGGGTGGGCAGTTTCAGTCAGTGGTTCCCCTAACAAATCTATTTTTCCAAATACCCATTCTCCAAGCTAGAAACCTGGTGCTCATCATAGTCTCCTTTCACCTATCCTCTACATTTTATTGATCATCAAATCAATACTATCCTACCTTCAAAATATTGTTCATATGCTTCCATGTTTTTCTACCCCCTCTATCTTAATCCAGGCCCTCATTGCTTCTTGCCTCCTAGCTGGTCCCCGTGCCTCCAGTCTTGTACCCCCTCTAAATCCATCTACTACACTGGTTTGTATTTTTCTAAAGTATAAATCATTATATCATTTCCTTGATTAAAATCTTTTCTTGTTTAAAATATTTTCCATATTGAAAATCTTCTGTTTTCACTATCAAGTCCAAGCTCTGTAGCATAACACTCAAAGCCCTCTAGAATATGATTTCTGCTTACCTCTCTGGCATAATCTGCTACTTAGACACACTCTGCACTCACCATTGAAAACTCTTTGCAGTGCCCCACAGCCAAGCTTGTTTCAATTATGCTGAAAAGATAATATAGTACTTTCTGAGTTTAAGCCTTACTTTATGTAAGCCTCTATACCAGAGCTAAATAAATACTGGTTTTCAAAAAGAGATATAAATTAAATTCTAGAAACTGCAGAGCTAGATGACAAGCCTCTAGAAAGCATTGGCTCTACAATAACATATATGAAATTTAGTGTACTTATAAAAAAACTCGTGGTTGTATTTTGGGATCAAGTTAATGGTCTATAATGACAGGGAGTCATTCCCTGTCCCTACCCTTGCCTTTTAGCACCACTTTCCTACCCATAGTCAAGTGTTTCATGGGGTAGGAAACATTTTTTAAATTAAGAATAAAGTTTAATATCAATCTAATAACTATAGCCACAATAGTGTAATACATCTTGAAGCTGACAAATTATCTGACAAGCTGTGAGCTCTCAGCTTTAGGCCAAGTTGTGCCACTGCTGGATTTAAGCCTGTCCAACCTTGTTTGGGGAATGACATAGGCAGAACCCACAGAGCTCTCTTTGTGTGAGGAGCTGAGTTATCACCTGAGAGAGAAATTTTCCCAAAGGAATCAGGCAAAACAAGCTGATTCAGTAACAGAGCTTTGGTGGGAGGAGAAGGACAATTCTGAGCACAGCGTGGTGATTGTCAATTATATTTACTGCCAAGAGCAATCTCCAAGGACTTATATTGCAGTCCTGTGAAGGGGAGAGTAATGTAAGCCAAACCAAAGAACTGTGTACTCATTATCTATTGTCATATAACAAATTAGCACATATTTAGTGGCTAAAAACAACACACATGTATCATCTCACAGAACCTGGGCATAGTTTAACCAGGTCCTCTGTTTCAGGGTCTCTCATGACGCTGCAATCAAGGTTTCTGGCATCTCATCTGAAAGCTCAACTGAAGAGGGATCTGCTCCCAATTTCACGTGCTTGTTAGCAGGATTCAATGATCTATGTCCTGTTGGGCTGGGGACCTCAGTTTCTTGCCTGCTGACAGCCAGTAGCTGCCCTCAGTTCCTTTTCACTGGGCCTCCCATACGTGGATGCTTGCTTCATGCATGCAAGCCCAGAAGGCAGTCAGGGGAGTCTCCTAGCAACATGGAAGTTTTAGTGCTATGTAATGTAAGTATGGAAGTGACACCCCATCACCTCTGCCATAGTCTGTTGGTTAGAAGCTAGACACAGATCCCACCCACAGTAAAGGTAAAATGGTTACACAGGGCATCAATACCAGGAAACAGATAATTGGGGACCATTTTAGAGTTTCTCTGTCTCAAACTGACTTATCAAAAACTCTAAGTCATTGACGTATCAGCAGCATGACTTTAGTACTGCTTTAACACAGTGCTACAAAAGAGAAGAGTATTTAATGATGGAACCTCATTGTGAGTTTGAAAGCACAGGGAACCTAGAGGGGACTTAGGAGACAATCTGAGGTGAAGAGCACTAAAACACACTTAAAATTCTTTGTATTTTGGCTTAGGACAAGCCTTTACGGGAAAATACTCATTTGAATTCAATAAATGTAAATACCCACACGGTGGCAGTAGATGCCAGGAAATTCTAGGTAATTATAAGCCAGCGAGGTACAGAAGAGCAAATTTATCTTCCTATATGGCAACCCATGTTTTCCTTTTTGTCTAATGCTTCTTTCTGAGAAGACTCAAGAATTTCCGGGTCCTCTTCAGATGGATGTGATAAGGGATTGTCTCCTTCTTTATGTATATTCTGCCACAGTCTCCTCAAGCCCTATAAGTCTGGGATATTCCAGAGAGACTCCCTCAGAAATCTCTAGACGAGAAATAGGCACCAGTCTCTATATTCACGTTTGCCCCAAATTCCAGAGGGTATAAGTCAAGTTCTCCTAATAATTTCATCACCATACTTCCAAGACAGCTCCAGGGGAGACCTACGTGTTCTGTGACTCAGCAAGCATCCAACTGAGAAATAAATGCCCCTCTCCTGCTTCTTGCAGGCTTAACGATCTTTTCAATTAACTGTCTTAATGCTCTCCTGGATAGATCTGATAGATTCAACCCTTGGGAAAATGGTTGGGGGAAGAAATGAAAAGAACAATGATTCTGGAGTCATGGTCAGTTTGAATAGACTCCTTTTCTATAAGAATAGCATGAGGGAAGTGAGATTGCCTATCCTCATAAATCAGCTACTGCTGGTGCTCCAGGTCCTAGGCAGCCCTAAAGCAAGGGGTTTAGCCCCAGTTATGCAGGGAAAACTTCTGAATTGAAGACAGGTACCTCCAGGGCAGACGTCAACAAGACAGCATCAAGGTGGTCTGGATCAATCCCAACCTCACTCTCACTTGCTCCTAAGGACTGATAATAAGTACACAAGGATTTCTGGACAAATAAAAGGAGGGCCTTGAGGGAAACGGACCAGAACTGCTGCCAGTATAGGCCTGTAGAGCCTCATGTTCTGTTCTATATCACTAATGGGAGCTATTTCCACCCCAAATTATAAAAACATTAGCCTCAATTACTTTTTTTAAATATTAGGGTTTGTAAAGAAGATTTCACAACTGAAAATAAGTGAGCCAATGCAATGTTCTTCACACCCTCAGGCAGCCTCCATCCATCTGATGCAGCTGTCTGCTGAAATATGCCAACTGGGCAGTTAAAAATAGATGGCAGCTCCCTTAAAGGAGTTGCATGATTGATTTCTATAGCCTTCTATATTTATTTATCTAGATCAGTTGTCTCCAAATGTTTTTTCCTGTGTACACGTAAAAGAAATTTGAAAAACAATGTATCCTTCACGAATTTTTTAAGTTGACCATCTAATGTTTTTTAATATGTTTAAAAGTTTATTTGTCCTTGGGTTAATATTACCTTATTACTACAATGGGTCAGGATTTAGCTATTCCTGTTTTTCATTTATATTTACAGCACTAAAAAATCTTATTTTTATACATAAGTAGATGAGAATGAAAGTTTTGTTAGTAAAAATTTAAATATATTAAGCATATATTTTGCATCTGATAATCAGAACGATATATTAACCTCAGAGAGGGAGAACTTGATTTAATAAAGCTGGTTTTCTGAAGTTTAGGGTACTATATCATAGGTGACTTTTTTTTTTTTAATTTTGTTCTACATTCCTTATATATTAGTATAGGTCCTACTTTTTTAAAAGCATGGAAAGGAATCATGAGAAAAACAGAAAGACAAAGAGGAAGAGAAATAGAAAAAGTATCAGGTCCAGGGATGGATTCAGGTTTTGTTAGCCTGAAGCCTATATAACATGAGGTGCAGACCTCTTTAAAAAAAGAGGACAACATTATAAATTTTAAAAATTAGGTGGAAAAGTAAATATTTATGTAACATGAGAATAAAATCATGACAAATTATGCATTTTAAAGGATGATAAATTCCACAAACATCATATAACCTAGAAAAGTATAACAATATCAATAACAATATTAATTAATATCTCTATAACAATTTTTCTACACTTTCTGGCTCAATACTTTTAATCATCTCTTCAAATGGCAATGCCTTTTTATACCATTTTCTATGGGAAAAAGATAATCGAGATTTTTCCTCAACATAGTTGGTACATTTTATTATTGATAGTTTAGAAAAGCTACTTTCTGCTTCATTGTTAGTGGAAGTTACTGGTTAAGCCACATCCACCATTTCCTCCCAGTTTCTTTCTCAGGAGGTGCTTCTTGCCAGGGCAAGCCCTTAGAGACTCTAGCCCTTTGACTGGCCAGGCTAAAGCTCTAGCATGGGGGCCACAGCCCTGGGGACAGATCTGCCAGGTCTCCTTGACCCCCTTTCTCACCTACCGCGTGAGAGTGCTGCTCTGATATGACTCCCTCAAGAGTAACTCATTATTTGATAATAGTGAGAATATGAAAGAGGTAAGTTAGTCAAACAACAAAAACAAGAATTGTCATTGCACCAGCTGTCCCACGCTATTGAATCTGGAACATCCCCCAAAGGGTCAAACTACCCCTTTACTAATGCCGTGCCTCACACTTACTAGACATTCATATTAGGCAGGAAAAGACAATGGTCTATGAAAGGTTTATGAGTATAAGAGGTTTCTCCAATACCAATATGTTGATTGTTCCTCTGAAGATTTTGCACCTCAGGGTGATGCATCATAGATGATTTGGGTGGATAAGAGGTATTTCTTTTGAAAAGTTGGGAAATGGTAACTGTAAAAGAGAATTTGGGCAAAGGAAAAGGAGAAACAGCATTAATATATATTCTCTGGTTGCTGGATATATTATTCTCCAAGGCTATACTGTTCTCTGATTCGAGCCAACATCGATACTGTTACTCCCATTATTCAAACCTTCTGTATCTTTTCTAATATTTTATCTGCTTAATCTATCATTAATTTTGTGATATATTTTGAAATAGTCTATTGTAATTGTAGAGTTATCAGTTTCTCCCTGTAGTTCTATCCACTTTTGCTTTGTAAATATTGAGTATGTTTTATTAGGTATACACAAGTTTAATATTGTTATATGTTTCTGGTGAACTGAATCTTATTCTAGCATTTATCCCATTATATTAATTACTAGTTCAGGAGCTTCCCTGGTGGCGCAGTGGTTGAGAGTCCGCCTGCTGATGCAGGGGACATGGGTTTGTGCCCTGGTCCGGGAAGATCCCACATGCCGCGGAGCGGCTGGGCCCGTGAGCCATGGCAGCTGAAAAAAAAAAAAAAAAAGTACAAACTTCGTAACTCATCATTCAAATTTCCCAATGACCTGAAATTCACTCATTTTCTCCTCACACACTAGAAAAACAATCAAACTGAAATCCTCACTAGCCTTACACAAATCCTACATCCCTTCTGCTTTCCACATATAATATTGAGATCATGGTATAATTTCCCTTCGCACTCTGCAAGTTCAAACCCTTTAAAGTCAATCTTAAAAGGCTCTTCTGAAAGTTTTTGGCATATTCACCCAAATAAAAATATTCTCTCCTCCTTTTGAATGATGTTATGGACTGAATGTTTGTGTTTTCTCAAAAATTCAAATGTTGAAGCCCCAAACGCCAATGTGACTATTTAGAGACAGAGCCTGTGATGAAGTGATAAAGGTTAAATGAGATCATAAGGGTAGGGCCCTAATCTGACAGGGCTGGTGCCCTTATGAGGAAGAAACCCCAGAGCTCTCTCTCTCCACCATGTGAAGGCACAGTGAGAAGATAGCTGTCTGCAAACAAAGGAAAGAGCTCTCACCAGGAATAAAATCAGTCGGCACCCTGATCTTAGACTTCCCAGCCTCCAGAACTGTGAGAAATACATTTCTGTTGTTTAAGCCACCCAGTCTGTGGTATTTTGTCATGACAGCCTGAGCTGACTAACACAAATGACAACATACTACTTTATCAATATCTCTTCTTGGGTTTAGATTTTTTCCATTGAATTATCATTGCTCATGTGGCATGGTTTTTCTCAGTTATTAATGTCTAATAATTAATAATGATTCAAAGAACCCAGCAACCTCCATACCAAATAAATAATCTCACATGCATGCTTGCAGAACGAGGTTTACTTGTCAGATTTATATTTATTTGGTATCTTGTCATCAAAAACTTGAGTCCTTAAAAGTTTGTTTACAAGATCTTATGCGATATTTTAAAAACTAAAATGATTCTTTGTTACATAATCCTTAACCTCTGAGACTAAGATGTTTGTTTTCAAGGTTTGTTATGAAAAATTATGTCTACTTATGTATTTAATATAGGAATTTGAATATGTTCTTCAAATATAAAATATTTGAGTAATATTTTTAACTCAAAGGCTCTGATTTCACTGATTGTGTTAGAATGAATTCACCCAGCATAAAAATTGTTTGAATTCTCCTAGAATTAAAAAAGCACCTATTTCCCTTCTAGCATAGGTTGTGCAAGTAAAGTGAATGACTATAGTAGAATTATTTTTAAAAACACAATGCAGAATCTCTACTTTTTCATCTATACAAATGTGCTTTGTATTTATATGGCATTTCTTTTTCCCAAACTCTTTAATTTATACATTACTCTGACAGTTACTGCATGCCTGAAATGTGTCATGAACTGTGTTGGCACTGAGGAAAAAAAATGAGCAAAAAAGTAGAAGATTTGCGACCACCTAGAGGGGTGGGATAGGGAGGCTGGGAGGGAGACACAAGAGGGAGGAGATATGGTGATATATGTATATGTATAGCTGATTCACTTTGTTATAAAGCAGAAACTAACACACCATTGTAAAGCAATTATACTCCAATAAAGATGTTTAAAAAAAAGAAGGTTACACTAATCTTTCTTAAATTCCTTAAAAATAAATAAAATTATAAGAGAAATTGATATTTCTACATAACCATTAATGGGATTAGAAACTGGAATAACTTTTTGGTAGGTGTGACAACTGTGATAATATGTGTGCCTAATTCTATGAGTAATTTGACTTTTAGGAATTTATCCTGCAAATAAACTTTCACAAAATGGGGGGGAAAAAAGTGGAAGAGACAGATTATAATTAAATTTTTTAAATTACAACTGATATTTACATAGTGCTTACTATGTTCCAGGCCCTGTTTTAAGCATTGTATATACACTAAATCATTTAAGACTCACAACAACCGTTAAAATAGGTTCTATTAGTATCCCCATGTTAAAGATAAGGAAACTGAGGCACCAAGAATTTAAGACCCAAGATTCCAAGCCAAGTAGTCTTGGTTTGAAAACCCTTGCTCAACTGTACTCACCTCACTAATCACACAAGTAAATGCAAAACTGCTACTGTACTATGCAGTAAGAAGAGATATACAAAGGCCATTAAAGGCCTCCATAATGGGAAGTGGGAGCTGGTCAGGAAGAACAAGGAAGGTTCCCTGAGGAAGTCTGCTTGAGTTGAGATTGGAAGAATAGGTTAAGTTGCAGAGATGGGTGAGAGGAGTCTTCCTGGCAGACAGGGCAACAAATAAAATAGCCCTGTGGTAGACCATGAACAAAGGACCGAACCACAGCTAGTTGCCTCAAGCAGGAACACAGGAGGGATGATGATGGAGGATGAGATTGGGGAGGGTAGAAAGCTATGAGAGGTAAGGGTGGAGGCAGATCATTTAGGCCTATCTAGGCCAATTTAAAGAATTTCACTCATCTTTTTTTTTTTTTTTTCCCACTCATCTTTGTCTATGTTATTCTGATTAAGAGCTAGTTTTCTACTTCAAAAGGTAGAGCTAGAAGCAGATTTTTTGTTTCCTCTAAAAGAGAAGGCTGTCACGGAAAGACTCACAAGCTATGGATAAATTACTGTATCCAGCTTTTTGTTGTTGCTGGTGGTGGGAGGGTTGACCTGTTCACCATACTGAAGCTAGTTCATCAAAGCTTGACGCACAAGTATAAAGGTGAATATTAAAGCTCTGCATGGGGATGAGAGTCCCCAGAAAAAGAGCAGAGTAGAAGAGAGTGCCAACATTTAATTGTCAATTGGCAGAGGATGAGCTCAAAAGATTTAAAGAAAGAGAAAAAGAAGGGGTTTGGGGGAGAGGAGAGAGGGAGAGAGAAGGAAAGAAAGAGTGAAAGAGAGAAAGGAAGGAAAGAAGGAAGGAAAACAGGAAGGAAGGAAGAAAAAAGAACAATCTGAGGGGTAAAAGGAAAATCAAAAGAGTGTTGTCAATAGAGGCAAGAGAAAAATGTTACAGGGCAGGAGATGTTAACAATTTCAGATACTACTGAGCTACCAAGTCAGATAAGAAATGAGATTTAGCATCGTGAAAGTCATTGGTAACCTAACAGGAGCCATGGGAATAGGGCAACAATTCTAAACCGGAGGCAATTTTGCTTTGCAGGGGTCATTTGGTAATGCCTGAAAACATTTTTGGTTGTCACAGCTGCAGGGAGAGAGCTGCTACAGGTATCTAGTGAATAAAGACCAGGGATGCTGCTAAACATCCTAAAATGTGCAGGACAGTGTCGCAAGTATAAAACATTGGCCTAAAATGCCAACAGTGCCAAGGTTAAGAAATCCTGAGATGGAGCAATGTAGGCAGAAGTTAGATTGGAAAAGGCTTAGAAATGGCTAGGTGGAAAGAAATAGAAACCGTTTTTCAAAAATTTGAACAGAGGAAATAGGGTAGTAACTAGAAGGGAACGAAGAAATCTAGAGAAAATTTCTCTCTCTCTTTCCTTTCCTCTCTTTCTTTCTCTTAATTGGGAGATACTTGATCCTGTTTTTAAAAGCTCCAATTGAAGAGAGTTTGAATATTCAGACAAAAGATAATCCATAATTTCAGGTACCTTAGAAGGTGGGAGGGAGTAAAATAAAAGTACCAGAGGAGGGGTTAGCCTCAGCAAAAATAATTACACCCATACTGTAATCGAAGGAAACTAGAATAGTATGGACAGATAATGGGACAGGTGATGCAGTTCTCATTTAAGGGCGGCTATTTTCTCTATAAAATAAAAATCAATATCATATTCTGAGAATTATGGGTGATGAGAGGAAGAAGGTTTGAAGAAGCTTGAAATAATCATTATGGAAAGTGGGAGAGAGCTTGACTGAGAATCCTTACAGGATCGCTGTACAGTTTGAAGTTGCTTTAATTACTTTTTTGTAATACCAATAGGCCCTATTGTGTAACTCTCTCCAGCAGTGCTTGGCTGCTCAGGCACAGATGCAGAGAAAGCAGACAGTTGGTTTATCTATGGTTGCAGTCTTTGGCAGATGCCACAAAGAAGACAGAAGGGGAAGTTTAAGCTATTAGCAACAGTATTATTGAACAGTACATCATGGAATCTTGCTGGACAAAGACAGATATGAATAAGGGAGACATATGGATGAGAAGAAAATGCATGAGTTAACAGTCATCAATAGGAGGACATTTTATCCAAGGCAAAATGGGAATATGGCAGTGACTTCAATCTATGCTACAAATATACAAACTGAGATATGAACTCCCCCAAAGCAGGGTATGCAGAACAAAGCCTTGATTATCATCAATAAATGTGCTGTACAAGATGGGTCCCCTGAGGTTCACCAGAGCTCTGGGTGAATTTTACAATATCATATTAAAGAATATGCTTTATCGAGGAAACTCAAGAAGTCAGCAACAAGAAAAGTCACAGGTCCTTTGATTTTCCAATTTTTCCCATGAGGAAGTACGCAGGGCCCCTGGCCATCTGATGGACACTTGGTCCAGTATTCTAGGGCAGATCCCCCACCTCACTGTTGCTCTCCTTTCTTACAGGGCAAGCATGATAGCAACCTTAATCAGAGGAGATAAGCACACAACATAAATGTTAGGCAGTCTGGATTGCATGCAATATATTTAAAGGGAGTAACTGTGAAAGCTAGCTGCCCAGCACCTGAGGACAGTGGAGATCATAGAAAGCTGTAGTTCCTGCACGAGGGTAAAATAATGCCATCAGTCTAATAGGAAGCTGAGTTCAAGTGTGGCTTCTCGCACTGGTTGAAGGGTGATTCCTGGTTCCAGATAGCCCAGTGCTTCGGTAACCAAGAGTGAGCTCTCAGGGTTACTTTCAGACAATCCTGCCCCTTGTGCCATGAACTTTTATACATTATTCAACAAATGACATTTACAATAGCTTGTTGTAAATATATTTCAGCAGACTTCTCTCACTTTATTTCTTCAACATCCTGTGTGGTTTTTAAAGAAAAGGAAGAAACAGAGGATATGGTTTCAAAGTGAAGAGAGGTCTTGTGAAACAAACCATAATGTTGTTGGCACTTATCAACTAAAAATGTTTAAGTGTAACTTACAGAGAATATCTCTAAATGTGATTTATGATACAGACACAAAAATAATATACATATAAATACCTAAATTTCATAATGGCAACATATTCCATGAGGGGTTTTTCCTTTTATAACAAAGATAGGGAAAAAAAAAAAAAGCTAAGAAAACAGAGAACAGAAAATGTCCAATAAAGATTTTCTTTAATTGGTTTAGAGTTCTAGAATAAAATAACAGAATGTTTATCACTAAGACACAGAAAGTATAGCTACTGCCAAGAGACATGAAATTTCTGAGGTCCAAGATTTCTGTAATATGAAAAGTTAAACAAAACAAAAAGTTGAACACAGCAGAGAAAGCTACCAAGTAGTCCTTTTTGTGGTTTTATTTTATTTTACTCTAAAGCTACTTAAAAATATGCAATATTGATATTAGTGGCAACTCACATTTATGATTGAATATGGCAGTAAACAGAACCTCATTACCTCAATGTTATTGAGAGAGATGCCGTGGGAAAAAGTCTTCAAGTTGATCAGAGAGAGAATATGTCCCCTGAAAGCTAGAAGTGATGGTTTGTCTCCAAAAACAAAAATCAACAAGTGAAAAGAGGTGAAAAACATGGGGAATGCAAAAGAAAAAGTCCCTTCTCTGACAAAACAAGGAAGAGACAGCATAGGGCACACAATGTCACAGGTTTAGAATTTAAGAAACAACCAAATGAATTGGCTAGCTGATAGCCTACAGATTCCAGAAGAGTAGGAAGTAGAGTGTGCCTAAAAATAGAGGTTTAGGAAGGCATGACCTTGAGCCACAAAGGTATAACTAGTGCTTCTTAAACTTGAATGTGCTTACAAATCACCTGGAGATCTTGATAAAATGCACTCTGATTTAGTAGGCCTAGCATTAGGCTTGATATTCTGCTTTTCTAACAAGCTCCCAAGAGATACCAATGCTGCCTTGTCCTTGGATCACACTTTGAATAGCAAAGCATCACACTGATGACACCAACTTAATGTAGCATCCTGGGAACCCAAATAGAAACTTTCCACATATTTGTTCAGCCATAGAAATGTACAGACCTTCACAAGACTAGGAAATTAGTGACATGGAGAAAGAAGAGTTTATTAACTTTACATGTGAGTCATTGAATTAATTTTTGCTTTATGCTAACCAAACTTTTTTTTAAATTTATTTATTTTTTGGTTGTGATGTGTCTTCATTGCTGTGCATGGGCTTTCCCTAGTTGCGGTGAGCAGGAGCTACTCTTCGTTGGGGTGTGCGGGCTTCTCATTGCGGTGGCTTCTCTTATTGCAGAGCATGGGGTCTATGTGTGCAGGCTTCAGTAGTTGTGGGCTCTCGGGCTCTAGAGCACAGGCTCAGTAGTTGTGGCACACAGGCTTAGTTGCTCTGCGGCATGTGGGATCTTCTCGGACCAGGGATTGAACCTGTGTCCCCTGCACTGGCAGGCGGATTCTCAACCACTGTGCCACCAGGGAAGTCTTATGCTAACCAAACTTATTAACATAAACCTGTCATGAGAATACCTGTGCTATTTTTCAGATAATCCCAGAAGCACTGATAAAGCAATATATGCTCACCTGTCAACATTCTATGAAAATACACATGGGACTTATTATAAAAGACAATAGCACCCATTTTACATGGAAACTTCACAGGTGTAAATCTGTGGACTTATGTGAGCAGAGCATCTCACTTAACTGTCAGGTAAAGCACATGCTTTATAAGTTGAACCATGTGTTCAGGTGCCAAAGAACACTGTTTCTTGCCCCTGCCCACTTGAGCTCTGTCCAGCAGAGAGGACTAAAGACATCTGACCAGCAGATTGCGCCCTGCTAATGAGAATACCTGGAATATGTCAAAGCATCTACAATTAGCCTATTTTCCTTCTGTTTCACTTCTGGGGTGACATCCCCCAGCCTATTAAATAGCAGCAGTCTCCTCCCCAAACATCATGCCCAATTCTCACTATGTTTCCCCAATCTTTTAGATCTGAGCAGCTATGCCAGTCCTGACTTGTGTTCTAATTCTGCAGCTAAGACTGGAACCTGGCAAAAAATCCTAGACAATATGGCTTCTGGGGGCCCTGATATTATGCTTAAGTCCTTGTGACCCTTCCCCACTTCTTCACTGTAGATCTGTCTGTGGTCCAACTCTACCCCCAAGAACAAAGATCCTGACATTTGACTAAAAGTATTATAATTAAGGCTATTTTTACCATAGCTTACCCAGTCAGATTGAATCCTTGCCTATTTATGCCATCCTGGACAGGATTCATGGCATCTCTGAAATTGTACTGTTTTATTCTACAAAAAAAATAGCAGTGTGCTCTAATATGTTCCCTCTGTCTGTATGTAGTCCATAATACCTTGTGACTGCACCTAGAAATCAAAAAACTTAGAAATTAGTTCCCTTCTACCACTGACTAGCCAGACTATATTACACACATCACTTTACATTTCAAGACACCATTTTTCTTATCTATAACATGGAGTTAGTTACTATCTTGTCTTCTTTGCAAAATTGTTGTGAAGATTAAATGAAATCATGAATGTTGCAATACTTTGAAAATCTGTAAAGTACTGTATAAGTATCAAATATTATCACTGATATTGCAAGTTTAATTTAGCAGATGAATAAATGACTTTTAAAAGCAATTTTTCCAAGTCTGGATTAATAAGTGACAGTTAACATCACATTCTGCTGGGATTTCCCTGGTGGTCCAGTGGCTAAGACCCCACACTCCCAATGCAGGGGGCCCAGGTTCAATCCCTGGTCAGGGAACTAGATCCCACATGCCTCAACTAAGACCCGGTGCAGCCAAATAAATAAGTTAATTAAATATTTTTTAATCTGCCTCTTGAACCCAAAGGACTAAAGGGACAACTTGATCTGTGGTTATGCTGCCAAATAAAATGCAACCAACTTACATGGCTTTAAGTACTCCTCTAGGTACTGACTAATAAAACATAACTACTGAACTAGTAGATGTCACAGTATCCTGTGGTTCACTTATTCTTTGTAGGAAAGCAAATTCTGTACTTCCATAATTTCTATTTTTTCTATTTTTGATATTATAAACCAATTAGATAATTATAAGATATCAAAAGGCAATTAGATTGTCTTGCACTGAGTAGGTTCCCAACAAATATAATACTAAATAAAGTATCAAAGAACTTTGTCAACCCAGAGATGATGCAACTCATGGTAAATCTGACCATATGAATATCTGACTATATGAATTATTCCTATAGTTTAATATTCATTTTCCAATATAGAAAATTTGGAAAAAATATATATAAAGTATAAATTGATTCCAAAGTATTCATACAAAAAAATCATATTATTTCACTAAATATTTCTCAGTGTTGCTGAGAAATTCCATTTTGGTCCAAGCTCATAGTATCTCAAATGAAGAGATGGATACAAGATACCTAGGAGGCTAGACACTAAGGGTTAAAGCTTACAGTGGTAGTGAGAGTCCCTGGGACTGAGCGTCCAATTAGGGAAGAGGACAGCTGTAAAGACCATTCTTTTTTTTTTTTTTTTTTTTTTGGCGGTACGAGCAGGCCTCTCACTCTTGTGGCCTCTCCCGTTGCAGAGCACCGGCTCCGGACGCGCAGGCTCAGCGGCCATGGCTCACGGGCCCAGCCACTCCGCGGCATGTGGGATCTTCCCGGACCGGGGCACGAACCCATGTCCCCTGCATCGGCAGCGGACTCTCAACCACTGCACCACCAGGGAAGACCTGTAAAGACCACTCTTAAGCTTACCTGTAACGCTGCCTGATCCACAGTGGATGATGAGCTCCTAACAGGAGTATTATGTAGCAGAAAGTGCAACGCCAAAAATGGTCCAAGGATCAGAACTCTCTCCTATATTTATGGGTCCCACCTAGATCCCTCAGGATGCCTGTAAATTCTATGTGGGAGAGAGACATGTTGGAAGTCTCAACATCCCCAGAGACTCTCCTCCCCATCACCATCCCACACCTCCTTACCTTGTTGAGTGAGGGCATGTCAGTGAGGCATGCTTGGGCTTCCTCAATTTACTGCTCAGAAAACAGCTATCTCATGAGTTAGGTTGTCCAAGATCCCTCCCAGTCTTCCTGAAATGCAATATCATCCAACTATGTTTAGAGAAATTGCTCTGATTTCTGAAGTATGGATAGTTCCTCACTGTGCCTAATGTACATGTCCCCTATTTATGCATTCTAGCTTAGAGATCATTGTATTGACACAAAAATTAAGGCTCTAAGAGTGACTTGTCCAAACAACTAGTTAGTGACTCAGCAAAGTTTTTAATCATCCTATCTGATGTGCACTCTAGTGTCCTTCCTTTTGTGCCACCTTGACTCCTAACAGTCCAGAATTAACACAAGAATGTTGTTTGACATCTTGATTTTAATGATACTATTAAGATATAACATGAAGGAATCAGAAAGCACCTTAAAATTTCATTACTTTTAAAATTGTTATTTTAAAATATAAAAAAAAAGTCAGTAAGCCTTGGGAAGGAGAGAAAGAAAAGTCAAGATGGGACCTAGAGAATATGTTAAATGAATATGATATGATTTATCAGTTCAAAGGCTAAATATTGAATCTGTTCTGAACTTAGTATATATTTCATATATTTGTACTTCAAAAATACCATTATTATCAAATTTAAGCCTCACTTTTTTCTTTTTAAAAGAAGAGTTATATTTCATTTATTTATTTTTAAATATCAATTACTCTATGTATTTATTTATTTTCAGACCTAAAGCAGGTATACTTTGCTATCCATTTTTCCTTCCAGTTTCAACGAGATATAATTAACATAAAGCACTGTATAAGTTTAAAAGTTGTACATCATAATGATTTGACTTGCATGCATCATGAAATGATTACCACAGTAAGCTTAGTGAACATACATCATTCTATATAGACGCAAAAGAAAAAAAAATTTTTCCCTGTGATGAGATCTCTTAGGATTTACTCTCTTAACAACTTTCATCCTTCCCCCAACACCCTCCCCTGCCCCCCACTGCCTCTGGTAACCACAAATCCAGTCTCTTTTCCTGAGCTTGCTTGCTTGTTTTTTTGTTTGTTTTCAAAGTATAATTGACTTACAACGCTATATTAGTTCCTGGTGCACAACATAGTGATTCTCAATTTTTTTAAAAAGTAAATTTTACTATGTTTGAATCTCTAACTAAATTCTTTCCAGTAAAACATTAAAAAGAAAAAGTGAAAACTTATTAGTATTTTTCTATAATCAAAGAAGCAATCATTTGCCTTGACAGGACATGTTACCTATGTTCATGGAATAAACTTTCCAAAGTGCTGATTAATTTAGTCTTAAAGTTTTGCTGATTATCCACTATGCTACATTCATGATATACAAGCCCTTTATCACTGTGTAAGCAGTAAAATGACTCCCACAGTCACTGTAAATTGAGAAGAGGGCTTTTTTTAAACCTTAGGCAATTAAAATAGATTGGCCTTTGTAGTTATACCATTGACCTTTCATCAGAATTTACTTGATCATCAGTGAAATACTTGGGTCAAGTGTTCTGCTAAATTAGGTTATGTTGGTCATCAAATTGAGAGTCTATAAAGCAGGTGTCACTCATAGATTATACTTCATTTAATTTTATTTTTACACAGTGTACTGTGATGCTTTTCATAACATTAAGCCTACTTTGAAAAGTTAGTCAAAGTACCTCTATTTTCCAATTCTGGCTTTATATTACAGTTTGTACATCTACCCTCAGACAGCCTATCAACTTAACTTTTGAGAATTAAATAATGCATGAGCCTATACAGCTTTGGAATAAGAAAATAATCAATAGTGACATGGTTAAAAAAAAAAAAGTACAATCCTCTCTTCATACCAAAATCTAAATATTTCAATTCAACAATACTAAGTCAAATTAAAATGCACAATTGCTCACTTTTGCACTATTTGCAGAACTTGGATACTTTCATATTTATACTTCACAATAAATTAACACTATGAAAGTTACTGAGTCTGATGCAATCTCTCTTTGGGAAAGGAGAGGGAATAAAGGGCAAGGGGAACACCGTTGTTCTTTGATACCCTCCAAGATGTTTTATTAAGTGTTTACTATACAACAATCTCCAGTTCCAGGTAACTGGGGATAAGGGGAAAAGATATTTTCTCCCCTCAAGAACTCACTCTCTGGGTGAGACAGACCTAAGACTGTTATTGTCAGGATATTTTATGCATTCTTCCATTTTGAAAGCTTTGTTCTGAGAAGTTTGTTTGTTTTCCACCATTTGAGCTGGGCTGTGGCTTTCCACCATGAAATCAGCTGTCCAATTGACTCTAATTCATAACTGAGAAAAAATTTAAACTTAACCAAAATTAATAATAATAATTAATTAATAATAAGAATACTACTTTTGAAAAGACAGTAAATGCAGCATTGTTAGCACCATGCTAGCCATGGACTTATTATAGTGTCATGAGAAACAGCAAATTCAAGCCCCGTGGGCTTTCCTATGACATTTCAAAAGGGAAAAGGAAATGCATATTCTTAAAAAGAAATAAAGGATCACCTCAATTGGTGCAGGAAAAAAGCATTTGACAAAAGTCAACATCCTTTTATTTAAAAATTCAACAAACTAGGAATAGAAGAAAACTGCCTCAACAAATAAAAGCCATGTATGAAAAAACCACAGCAAAATCATACTCAGTGGTGAAAGACTGAAAGCTTTTCCTTTAAAATCAAAAGCAAGGCAAAGATGCCCACTTTCATCACTTTTATTCAACATAGCACTAGTCCTAGCCAAAGCAATTAGGTAGGTTAAACAAATAAATAAGTAAACGGTATCCAAATAGAAAAGGAAGAAGTAAAATTATCTCTGTTCACAGATGTTATGATCTTATAGTCGAAAACCCTAAAGATTCCATGTACACACACAAAAAAGCAATTACAACTAATAAATAAATTCAGCAAAGTAGCAGGATAAAAGTCAACACAAAAAAATAAGTTGCATTTCTATACACTAACAATGAACATCTGAAAAGAAAATTACAAAAACAACTCCATTTGCAATAGTATCAAAAAGAATAAATAATTAGGAATTAACTTAACCAAGGAGATAACAGAATTGTGCAATGAAAAGTACAAAATATTGCTAAAAGAAATTAAAGACATAAATAAACAGAAAAATAACCTATGTTCATGGATTGGAAAGCTTACTATTGTTAAGTGTCAGTACCACCCAAAGTGATACACAGATATAATGCAATTTTTATCAAAACCCAATGACTTTTTTTTTGCATAAATACAAAAATCTATCATAAAATTCATATGGAATATCAAGGAACCCCAAATAGCCAAAATAACTTGAAAAAGAACAAAATTGGAGGACTCACACTTCCTGACTTCAAAACCTACTACAAAGCTACAGTAATCAAAATAGTATGGTAATGGAATAAAGATCCATGGAATAGAATAGGGAGCCCAGAAATAGATCTTCATATACATGGTCAAATGTTTTTTGAGAAGGGTGATAAGACCATTCAGTGGGGAAAGGACAGTCTTTCCAACAAATGATGTTGGGAAAACTATATACCCATATCCAAAAGAATGAAGTTAGACTCTTAACTAATACTACATACAAACATTAATTCAAATTGGATCAAAGACTTAAATGTAAAATTATATAACTATAAATGTACATATAAATATATATATATAAACTACAGCTATAGTTTATATAACTATAAGCTACAGAACTACAAAACTCTTAGAAGAAAACACGGGCATAAAGTTCAGGATATTGGATTTGGCAGGGATTTCTTGGATATGACACAAAAGGAACAGACAATAAAAGCAAAAAATAGACAAATTGGACCTCATGAAAATTAAAACTCCTGTGCATCAAAGGACACAATCAGGGCTTCCCAGGTGGCGCAGTGGTTGAGAGTCTGCCTGCCGATGCAGGGGACATGGGTTCGTGCCCCAGTCCGGGAAGATCCCACATGCCGCAGAGCGGCTAGGCCCGTGAGCCATGGCCGCTGAGCCTGCGCGTCCGGAGCCTGTGCTCCGCAACGGGAGAGGCCACAATAGTGAGAGGCCCATGTACCGCAAAAAAAAAAAAAAAAAAAGACACAATCAACAGAGTAAAAAGGCAACCCATGCAATGGGAGAAAATATTTGCATATCTATATCTGATAAGGGATTACAATCCAGAACGTATAGAGACCCCAACAACAAAAAACCAAACAATTCCATTCAAAAATTGGCAAAGGACTTGAATAGACAGTTCTTCAGAGAAGATATACAAATGGTCAATAAGCACACGCAAATATGCTCAACATCACTATTCATTAGGGAAGTGCAAATCAAAATCACAATGATGTATTACCTCACACCCAACAGGATCACTGCTATCAAAAAAAAAAACAACCCCAAGACAAACCAAAAAAAAAAAAGACAGAAAATAACAAGTGTTGGTATGGATGCAAACAAACTGGGAACACTTATGCATTGTTCACGGAATGCAAAATGGTAAAGCTGCTGGGGAAAACAGTATGATGGTTCCTCAAAAAATAAAAAATAGACTTACCATATGATCCAGCAATTCCACCTCTTAGTACATACCCAAAAGAATTGAAAGCAGGACCTTGAAGAGATATTGGTACGCCCATGTTCCCAGCAGAGGTGTAATCACTCCAACAAAGACTTAATGGATGGATGCTTTGGGCCTTGGACCAGGCTGAGAATATCTCATATATTCAAAGGAGTCTGTAGTGAAAGTAAGATTTCAAGGAAGGCTGAGATAGCAGGAAGGGCCTCTAGGCTCTGACCAAGCCAAGAAAGAATGACCAAGAAATTATCAGCTACATACATCAGTAGTTTTTGCCAACAGGATAACCAAGAATAAGATGAGACAGACATACTTCAGGTGATGCCAGTCCCTGCACAATGACCAGTTCAGGGTCATAGAGTTCAACTCCCACAATGCAACAAGTTCATGTGGGACCCTGCTCTGTGTGCCAGACACCATCTTAGAAGTAAGCAGAGGAAGAGGGGTTGAAACCATAAAACAATGATTTCAAAGAGACAGAGTTAAAGAGTTACTTAAATAACTG